CCTGAACAGAACACGCCTCCAACCAATCAGAACACGGCTAACCCCCCAACCAATCAGAACACAGCCAAACCCCCTACCAATGAGAACACACCCCCACCCAATCAGAACACAGCCAAGCCCCCACCCAATCAAGTTCCACCCCCACTGGCAGTTAAAAGGAGGAAGCAGCTGCAATCTCCATTACTCTGAGAAGCACAGAGCTGGAGACAGAAGCCTGAAGATGATGAATGAGACTTCATCGAAACGTTGCCTAGATACTTCAAATCTTACGCGGGAGAAAACCCGAACAACCAAAGATCTACATATATATATATATATATATATATATTTTAAAGGTATTTTGAATGCCTTCTGTTGTTTGAGGCCAATGAGAGAAACACTTTTTACTCAACTGCTTTGTTTATAAAAGTAGTTACTCCAAAGTACACATCAAAAAATATGCTATTCGAGGTAATAGAAATTTACTTTAAAAAATTACAAATATTAAATAATTGCAATCAATCTATAATAACTTTCAACACTGGACTACATTTGGCAATTTACAACATTTGATAGTTTACCATCAATTTTAATTTGAATCTGACAACTGTCAGCCATCTGTGTGCACCCTTCAAAGGTACAATGATTCTGAGATTTCAACATCTGTGAACTTTAGCTTTGAGCTTTGAGTATTTCAGATAATATGACACATTTATAAAGTGAATAAAGAGCTTCTTATGCAACATTTGGGGTGGTTAAATAAAAGTCCTAGCAACGTCTTTTTTTTAACACTGAGACAATGAGATAGGAATGTTCAGCAAATGACATGTGAATTGTGCAATTCATAAGGAACAAGGCTTACAGTATTTGACATTACACATTAATCCTAATGTAATCTATCAGAAATCTATCTATTGTACTGTGTGCAACTTTCTTTAAAGTAACAAATGAAAATACTGTAGCAATCTCATCTTACTTGGATTTTTGGAAGAAATTAAAGATAAGTTCAATATTTATTCATACTTGCTTCATTTCCTTCTTAGATCAGGGGTATTCAAACAGAGCAACTTTGAGACTTGTATGCTGGCTGGGGAATTCTGGGAGTTGAAGTCCACAAGTCTTAAAGTTGCCAAGTTTGGAGACCCCTGTTCTAGATGACTTTCAGAATTCCATCTACTAAAAATGATTCATCAATGTACACTTAGATGTGACCCAGCGAATGTACTATAAATCCTTTACGAAGCCTTACTTAACTGCTAGAGTAAATAAAAGACTACTGCAAAACTCAGTTTAAGAAATTATTATACATTATTTTATGTATCGTTATATAAAAACTTACAATTAGCAAGCTTTTGACACAAAGAAATGGATTGGAATAGCAGTAATTATGAATGCAAGCTTTTTACAATGAATCTCAAACTTTTTTTGCTGATTCAAATATTCAGAAACATACATGCAGATCAATTTCTCAGAGTGACCTTCTGCCACATCATTAGATACGTTTTCAACTGATACTTCTGTTGAAGTGGTTATGAATTGATAAATACCTGATTTAATCATTTGTTCCTGAAAGTGGATAACTTTTCTTTGTAATCAAATAACAAAATAAATAACCATATAAAAGAAAATATGATTACAATAAATGATAGTAACAAGGGTCTTATTGCCATTCATTAGTTTTTCTTATTGACTGATGGTTTTTTTCCCCCATGAAATTGGAGTAGTTCATTGGAGTACAGAACACCTCTAGCTTGTAGTTCCAGAGCTGATACTTTCATAAGTCACTGTTGTATATTCAAAATCATCCCGGATGCACTATTCTGAAGCAATCTACATAATGAAAACAATGAACATATAACAAGTTCAATGGAAAGAAACTTATTAGATACAATAAGTAAAATACTGTAACATAAGAAGGATATTGTATTGATAAGATGCCATGAATTCAACTATGAAAAGAAATGTGATTTATTTGGAAGCTAGTTTTGTGCAAAATGATTAAAATTGCTCACATGGGTCTTAGGCCCAAAAATCCATCCATCTATCCACTAATAGGGATTTAATGAAATACCTGGAGAAGATGGAGCAAAGTTTTTTGTCCATTGGAAGAATTGGGATTTTTTAAGGGTTTAAGCAACAAAACTAATTGTGATTGGCAGTATGATATACACCCCGCTCCAGGTTTGGGAAGCTAAGGGCAAAAAGACATATAAAGCCATGACACATAGAAGCCAATCACTTCTGGTGATTGGAATTTGGATATAAGAACACTTATGAGCACATAATTTAGAGCAGGGGTGTCCAACCTTGGCAACTTTAAGACTTGTGGACTTGTGCAAAGCTGGCTGAGGAATTCTGGGAGTTGAAGTCCACAAGTCTTAAAGTTGCCAAGGTTGGACACCCCTGATTTAGAGGAAGGTGTGAACAGCAGACCGCTGAACAGATTCATTGGCCAGGGGCAAGAATAATTGTTTTTCATAGATGTATGTTTGTGTGTGTGTGTGTATGCATGTACACACATACACACATAAATTCAAATGTAAAAACTAGAGCATATAGATGCAGACAAACAAAATATTTAAAATATTGGTTTAGCTACCACTATTAATCAATTAAACTATATTTCAAATAAAAATAAGTCACATAAACAAACTTAAATTCAAGCTTAAAAATATAATGGAAATATGGAACTATCCTCTTCAGGAAAGATCTTTTTACAATAATTAGCAGCACTAAAATTAAACATTTTTCATTTTGGCATGCATGAAACAATGGCTGCCCCTTCTTTCCCCCAAATATGCCTCTAGGTGTATCTTACTGTTCAGTGATAACCACAATGTTAAACTTCACTTAATACACATCGTTTGAAACTGCCTACAAATTCTGTGACTTATATGCTACCTCTGAAGTGTATACTGATATCCTAGATTTATTTTCAGTAATAGGGGTGCATAGAATTCTCCTGACAGCTTAAAATATTTGACTTTGTCGCTATTTCAGGTATAGTTTTGAAAGTCAATATGCTAATTGTGGAAAAATTGAAGGACAAAAATATAAACCCTTTTCAAACTCTTCAAGAAAAACTATTTTAAACTGCAAGTGTGTATAAATGGAATAAGTGAGTCACGTTTTGGCAATTGCTCCTAAGTCATTCCTTGATATCATTAAGTACTTGCTGAAAACACAGTAAAATATATTCATATTATAATCTGACAATGCTTTTAATTGGCATAAACCAAACCACTTGATTGACACCTATGTACAGCATAGTGAGAAGTAGGATAAGTTCAAAACACAGGATGTTTTTCCTGCTGGATCTCAGAAATTGATTTTTGCACTTCCTTTGTAGTTCTTTATCCAAGTCAGACATTTAGTTACAGATTCTTGTTTCCTTCATCTTTTCAACAGTCATGAATCATGGGTTTAGAACAAAATGTGAAATCTGAACTCCTAGATCACATGCAACCACCAAAACCTTGGGTATCAGCCAAAAGATGCCACCAACTTGCAAAGTGACACAGGGCAAAATTATTACATTTATAGGAACAAGGAATTTATTAAATCTATTATATTAATTTATTGTAATTAGATTAAATAAAATGATCTTGGTTTTTGTCCTAAAGATCTTGGACTACAGCCAAATGTGGCTGTATATTGTTGGGTGAGGACATTCACTGTAGTGCATCAGTAAGTGCCACTCATAACAGTCAAAATAAATACTTAACGAGGTTATCATGGGGAATGGAAAAATGAATAAAAGTTCTAGAATTTCAATAAGAAACAAGTTCAAACTCCTACTCATGAAGATGGCCAATAGGTCTTCAGTGAATTGTGAGGATAAATAAGATATCATCTATATATTAATTCAACTTCCCTAAAATAAGCATACCATCAATTTTGATTATCCATAGATCTAAAAGATAGGTTCTCTATTATCCTATCGTGTGTCAGCTGCAGGCTGGAAGTTATTACCTTTTGAAACATTTTAAACACTGGATTTTAAAAGAATATCAATCAGAATGAATGGTCATTCCAAACTGCTGCTTAAAAATCAAGCTTAATGTTCAGAATCATATTTTGCAGGATGTTATAATGGAACTGAGGAAAGTGACTGAATAAGTTTTGTGTGTTATTGAAATTACAGCAAACCCTTTAAAAATCTTTGTACATTCAGGGAATAGCAACATTTTTCAAACAAGCCAAAACACACAACCACAACAAACACCTTATAAAAAGATCTCTGATTTTTTTCCCAAAGAAAATGAATGAAATGCAGGGATGGTGAATTGGGAACAATATATTCAGTTGTTCACTTACCTTCAGTTGTCTTTTACACCCTAGTTGTGTTGTACTCAGATTCATGTTTGTTTAGAGACCCAATGAGGCAAAACCTGGAATGTTATGGCTATTTCATTCAACATAATAATGTTTGCATAGGAAAAAAAAGAAATACATGCATATACATTCTTTACTGGGACATATCTAAAGATTCAGGCCAATTGATTTAAGATACCTAAAACTGGTGGGCTGGTAGGCAAAAATAATGCTCTTGTTAACTTTATCAACTCTTTAAAATGAGACGACTAAAATGGCTTGGTGAGACTAATTGACAAAATGCTCTGAGACTTTTGGATAGGGGTGTTTGCAGTGAGGAGGGATAAGTCAAGCAATGCAGAAAAAAGATAATAATTGGGCTCCAATCACATGGCTGTATTCATCCATTTAACTTGTTTTATTCCTCTGTGTCCTGTAGACACCCCAGGTTTGGCTAGATTTTATGACGACGGAAAAGACTAAACACATGAACACAATAATATGGAGAATAATAAAATGCATGTGTTAAGCCTAAACCTATAACAAGGTTTCTGGCAGTTTCCACGTACATTGCATGTAAATATTTTTCACTTCATATTTACTCATAATCTTTTAAGCATTTTTATTAAGAAGCATGCAGAGTGCATTTCACAGCAAAAGAGTCCCCATAATTTTCTTTGAAACAGTAATTCTGCCAGACTTGATTTAGAAAGCTTTTGCTCTGCTACTTTTTCATAAGCAAATCTCAAAGAATATCAAGCTAAAGCATAAAAATTATCCCCTAGTCTAAATTGCAAATAAACAAGACAAGTAATGACATATCAACTACAGAAATCATATTTCAAAATATTGTGTTTTGCTGCATAAAAGAAACATGATCAGAAGGCAAAGGGATTTTCTCATTGGTTTATCCCTCCCTACAATCTGGAAGGACAAAATATTACATTCAAGCTCTTCAAGAAATCAGCTCTGCATGCTGATTTTTCAAAGAAAACTGCCTTAATTTACTCAAAAGTATCTTTGGAAGGTAAAGTCTATCTACCCTTTCATACATTTTTATATTTAATGAAATTAAAATAATAAGATACCATAGCCCATTCCTGAAAATAGAAGAGACAATTTTTGATGATGGAGCAGTATTAGAAAGATCAAAAACAAACAAGCAAACAAACAAAGAAAAAATGAAATCAGACAGGCAATGAAATAATTGCAATTAGAATTTTCCACAAAATCAGTATATATACTGTACATGTAAAACCCAACTTAATTATAATCAACAGTATTATTTAGCTGCTTTAAAAATTAAATGTCTTCCTAGGAATAGCTGCTTAACTCTTTCCTTATTTGACCTTTCTATGCTATAAATTCTTCCATACAATTAGCTCTTGAGTGTGTGTGTGTGTGTATGGAAAGGATGAAGGTTGCACTCCAGAACTAAAACTATTTTAGAGCCTAGATTAGTAAACAGTCAAAGACAGGAAAGTTTAAACTTCATTATTTCTCAATTATCAAAGCCAGACAGTAAAGCCTGGTACTATAATGGTCTCCACAGCTACTTTATGCCAAATAGCAGGTGAATATAAATAGAAGGAACCTATTTTCACCTGCCAAAAATTGCCATGGAATACTGCCATGGATTGGATTGGGTTAGAAGTTCTAGTAAATCCTAAAACTATAAATAAGGACAATTTTGGACTTGCTAGGTAATTCTTGGCTATTTTCATGGGATAGTACCAAAAGCATCTTCTCCTCCTCTACTCCCTTCTCACCAAAACAAAAACAAAAAGACCCTCTTTAGAATACCCATCCACATGCATAAATGCATCCTGGAAAAAGAATGTTAGCTCACAAACAATGGTCGGACTTTAAGTGGATATGCATATTAGAAAAATTAAATAAATAGAAAACAGAACTGAACCCAGGCTTCATGCAAAAGTCCTCATAAAAAATCTATTGATACTGACCGCTGAACAGCTTTATCATGTCTGGACAGCCTGTGACTCGTGGTTGGTACCTCTTCAATTTCATCTATCTCGCACACATCAGCAGCTTCTTGTGAGTAGCTATGCTTCATGACTAGGATGTTTCTTCTGTTCATAGGCTGGATAAGGGGTTTTGCAGGCTGGGGTTGAATTTCTGTCAAGATTGGTGTATCTCTTGTGCTAAGATTACTATGGCTGCCCTTAGTGCTAGATAATTGTGATCCACAGTGGTGGTCATGAATGCATTTCGAAGATGATCTACGGAGTTTATGATAATTTTCAAAGTCATCTGCAATATCTGCAAGGTCCACTGAAGTTCCTGTCCCTCTGAGAGTACATAACTCATAATGAGGCGGCTCAAAGACCTCTTGGAACACTGTTTGATCAAAGTCTGCTTTCTTCTGGACAAATCTTTTACGAGGCTGTTTGATCTGGACTATAACAGAGATAATGATCAGGAGGATCACAATGCAAATAGTCACCCCAATGATTGTCCCACTGGTATTTGTAAGCTGATCCCACAGGCTGGCTTTTGTCTTTTCTGTGAGATGGGGAAAGGGAATAAAAAAAATAAAACAGAAAATTAAAATCCACCTTTTTTTAATGACCATTAGCTTTATGGATTGTTACCATGATAATTCTTTCTCAATCTTTCCAAACTGGGTACTATCCAGATGTTTTGCAACTGCATGTTTCAGTAGGTACACCCATGTTTCATGGGTATACATTTGGACACTTTGATAATTATGCCCCAATATATCTGAAGACTATAGAACTGATATAAGAAAGAATACAAGAAATACAGAATTATATGGCAGGACAGCATGGCAGGACAGCATGAAATCAGAGACTGATTTCAATTCTCTGGAACTGCTCCAGCCTGTAAACCTCTGTATGTCAAGCAGTTAAATATACAGCCATTCTACCATCAGAAGTCATTTTATGACCATTATAATTTGCATTTCTGTAAAGTACAAATCAAGTATTTTAAAATACATACAAAATAACAAAATTGGTGGTATAATGTCACTTTGTGCAATCTGATGAAAACTAAGGTTGTTTTTATCTATTTAACCAAATCCTTGAAAGTGCAATGACAGAGTTTTCAAACTTCTCCATTATGGTGACATCCTAAAAGGGAATAACTAGTCTTTTATCATGAATTCCCTAAAATTATATCCTGGTTCTCAGAGTGAAGAGTTAATTTGTTATCTCTTCCTTAGTCAGGGCATTGGACTGTTCTTATCTATGGACAAAACTTTTTAAAAAACTTGTCCTGGAATCTGAAAGTAGATCAAATAGGTTTGCATTGATACAGAATTAAAGTGAAAACATACCAAAGTGCATGTGGATTCAGCTCAATGGACAGTTAGCTCTATAGACACAAAAACTCCTGATAAAGCTAAAGCAGTGTGGTCTGCACATGATCATTCGGCCCGTGGGCCACCAGTTTGACACACCTGAGATGAACCACAATTTACAGCCATGGCCAGTCAGATGCTTCAATACATTTAATAATCAAGTCATATTATCATATGCCTTCCGTATATGTGCTTCTTTATTAATTCCGTTCTACAAATGAGCCACATAAAAGAGTTTGTGTCCCTATATGATTTTAGACTAAACATCTAGAAAGCATAGGAAATAATCTTGTATGCCATTGGAAAAGGTACGATTAAAACTCTGCTTAATCCCCTAAAAGAAGTGTGAAATATAATATACATATCTTTTTATGATTGTATCCATTAAAAAGAAACCAGTGTAGAATATATTTTGACAAAAGTGAAAGACAACCACTTTGCTGATCCCTAAGCAATTTTTTAACTATTTCAAGTAATACTTTTAAGAGGCCAACCTTTTACTGAAGGAAAAACAAACAAACCAAGATTAAGCAACTTGAAACTAGGATATAGTAAAACTATATGTAATACTATTGGGGAATTTAGAGGGATAAAAGTTTGAAATATATATTATATATTTTATTTTGTTGTTCTTTTATATTATACTTCATCCTAAAGGAAAATTATGAACATATGTTTTTTGTTAGATATTTCTATTGTGGATCTGTAATTGTTGTTGAAGGTATAAATTGTTCTATTACCAAGAGAAGAATGTGTATAATATGGATAGTCTAACACAGATTATTTGTTAATGTTTAATAAAATATCTCATAATAGAAAACCATTTTTGCCTATTCAACATGAGAGCATCTTATAATGGTTACGTTTTCAATTGATGACTGCAATTACTGTATGAATAATATAATGGGAGAAATGGTCTGAATCAATGCTTGTGTTTAAATATAATACAGCGTGTGATGAATTGTCTTATACATAAGCAAATATATTCCTATCATTATAGTTTCAATATTTTACTAGCAAAGGAATGGATCTTTCATTTGAAAATTGAAGGTTTGCCAGACTGCTTATATCAAACCTTTGTGCAATAAATTGAAATGGTAAATATTTTCTATTCATTGAAGTTACCTTGTGACATCATAATATATACCACAAAAAATGTTTTCAATTTAAGAAAAGTAACAAGCCTTAAAATGCCAGGGTATTTTCTTTTCCTTCCAGGAGGGATAAAATCAATTGTTTGTCCATGGGGCAATTTATTTATTTCTCAAAAGGGTTTTAGGGGAAAGAGAGATAATGTAGTGGACTGAGATAAATCATGTCTATCAATATACTTAGCATATTTGAAAATCAATCAGAAAAAAGCATGAAGCATGTGTGAAAATTAAAGCACATCCCGAGAAAGTTGACAATATCCTTCTTTACACATTTTTTTCTGATTCCCATGGGATGTGAGTTTATAATAAATGTTTCATTAAAATACAAAATACAACAGCAAAAAAGGGGATTCTTTCATTGGTGTTAACAAGTTAAAAGGTGATAAATTTTTGTACTGATTTTAAAGAGTTAAAATGAAATTTGAGGTTATGATCATTCAAACACACAGCAATCTACTTTTAGGCAAAGTAACATTTCATCTCACCCACCTTACTTCAGTTGTTCTATTGCAGGGTGTCAAACCCAAGTTCATTGAGGGCTGCATCAGGGTTGTGTTTGATGTTGGGGGCTGGGGAGAGGCATGGCCAGCTCAACACCACTCAAGGCTCTGTTTTCAGCCACGATCGCCTCCTGCAGCCTTATGCCAGTGAAAATAGACATTGGCGAGGCTGCAAAAAATAATCCCAGTCTGTTTTCAGCTGCAATGGCCTCCTGCAGCCCTCTGCCATCCAAAATGGAGCTGGCAAGAGGGCTGCAGAAGAACGTCCCGGCCAAAAACAGAGCCTGGGAGGGCTTTGTGTGGCCATCCTGAGCTCTGTTTTCGCTGGCAGAGGCACCACAAACCGGTCCTTCATTGTTCCCAGGGCAGCGCACTGTCCAGATCTAAGCATCTTGTGGCCTGGATCTGGCCCCCAGGCTTTGAGTTTGACACCCCTGTTTTATTGTAAGCCTGTAGAAATTGACAATTTTTTTCTGAACTAGGGCAATGAAAAAATGGTTATGGGTTTATGGAGTTAGATGAAAGAAAGTATAGAGATTCTCCAAATTATTTTAATAGCAAGATAATGTGTTCCTTACATCTTTACCAGTGAAAAAGATTAAGTAATCCTATGCAGGTTGTAAAATGTTTGTTTTCATATATATCTACTGGACCCACTTGTGACACCTGAATGAATATTCAGTGACATGCCTAGTTTGGGATCTTTGCCTAACTTTGGATTATTTTTTCCTGCTGAAGAAGAAGGGGACTTTCATTAGTTGTTTCTTTTTTTGGTTGCTAAATGTGAAAATGGTCTTTAAGAATATTCAGAAACTACAACTGACACAGAATTTGGCAGCCCTTATGTAATTAATCATCTGTATTACTCCATTTCCTATTAAATCAACTTTCCTCTAAATTACTTCTGTGTTAGTATTCAAGATCTTACTTGCTCTAATGTTTAGAAATGTTCTAATGTTTAGAAAAAGGAAGAGGGTAATTTATCAAATGGTGTTGAATGGATATTTCTCATAACATAAAGGAAGTACATCTTTAATAGCCAGAGAAGAGATATACAGGTAGTCCTTGACTTATGACCACAATTGAGACTGAAACTTCTGTTGCTAAGCAGTGAATTTGTTAAATGGGTCATCAAATTAACATGCCTAATTTTATGACTTTTCTTGTCATTGTTATTAAGCGAATCACCATTGTCATTAAGTAATTTTGGCTTCTGTCTCTTGTGGAGAAGCCAGCTGGGAAGGTTTAAATGGGGAGTTGTTTGTTGAAAGCCAGCTGGGAAGTTTGAAATGGTGGTCATGACATAAATATATGCCAGTTGTCAAATGCCAAAATTTTGATCACGACTGTGGTCATAGGAGTGAGGATGTTAGTCACTTTTTTTTTTAGTGCTGTTGTAACTTGAAACCATCATTAAACAAGTGGCTGTACTTGCACTACAATAGTTGTTGAGGTAGAAAGAAGTGATATCTGAGAAGAAATTGCTTGTTTGTATGCCTTGTTTGTAACTTTATTAGAAGCATCTGACTGGCCAATGTAAAATAAATTCTGGGTAACATGAGTGTTAGTCAGATACAAGTGCGCTTGTCCTTTCTATTAATTTTAATTCAGAAACATAGTTTTATTCTTCAGTTCATTACAGAGATTAATAGAGACAATTATCCATAATGTGAAGAAAAGCACAATACCATCGAGCACTGGAAGGTCTCAGAGTTAGTTGGGAAAAGCAAAATCTACTTATTTCTATTAGAAGTAACCAACTTTCCTCCATTATGGGCAATAGGTCCATTTAAGAGGTAACAGCTTCTTAAAAGGGTTTTGCCTGTGTTGTCCGGCATTGTTGTCAGCACTGCTCAACCTTCCTGGAGAAAAATTCAGCCATTCTTTTGACATTTTAAGGAACGTTTTTAATTCCAAAAGAACTCTTTCAAAAACTTACCATAAAAGCCATCCCTCTCAACTCTTCTCTAAATGCTACTAGTTATAGAACTAATATAGTTAAAAAACAATCCAAATTCAAAACTCTTTAATGAACGTTTTATCATCTTCTCTTTATATTGTACTTCTTAATTAAAATTAGTAATACGCTGATGATTTGCCACTTGTCCTAGCATGCTATGAATATGTTTTGAGGTTTTATTCAGCTTGGTATCTCAAGGAGACAGAGGGAAAGCTTTGAAATAAGATTAAATTCAGAATAAATACTGATCGCTTCTGACTTGCTAGCAAAGACTTCTACTTCTGATCAGTGGCATATTGGGAAATGTTCTTCATAATCCAGTAGCGTGCAGCATTTGGTGGTAAAAATTAATCTGCTCTTATTTCATCTGTTTCATAAGAATATAAAATACTGTCAGCGCCACTTTTGAAAAGATGAAGGTAAAAAGTCAAGGATTGATTGGCAATTCCTCACTCATTAATTGCCTATGGAAACTAATATGTTGAAAAGGACAGTAAAACTGTATATTTGTTCCAACTTTGGAATCACATGATTGCCCAATCCTCTCCTTATCTATTCATTGAATCAAACATTTGAGTCAGACATTGATATGGATCTGCTGTCCTTCTCATAACATTAATATTTGAACAGTTAGGAATGGAAGAAAGCTATCTAATAGAACTGCCTCATCACAATCATTCAGGCACTTAAAACTATCAATTAGTGGACAGATTATTTGCATTTACAACAATGGCAACATAAAATTATAACTGTTTTTCTGAGAGATTATTTGCCATTTTAAAATCCTCTGTTTGAATTACACTTCAATTTCTTTTGCTTGGCTCCTGATGCTGGCTATGAGTTAAGGCTAAGCATTTTGCAAGCTTTTTTCCATTTCTTCCTAAATGAATGATGCCCTGTATTCTTTACCCTTCTCCAAAAAGCTTTCAAAGGCATAATAGCCATGGAAGCTGTTGCCGAAATATATTATCCCTCTTGTTCTTTATAATGAAGACAAATGCAGATACAGAAATCCCGAAATGTAGAGGGCTATGGCATAACAATTGTTATCAAACTGTACTATAAAGCTTGAGTTCGAAATTCTAGTTTTGGTTTCAGTTTTTCACAATAGAAACCAATGAATTGCAGAAAATTCCACTTAAACATGGTATAATAGACTTAGTTGTTATTGGAAGTTGGATTTTTATCTTAAGAAATATTTGGCTCTATTTCTCATAACAATGCAAAGAAATGAATTGTTCTGTTTTTGAGTTATTTTCTCAAGAAACAATGGCAGGTTTACACAAGGTCAAGTACATATATTTTACTATCCACATTCAAGACACACACATAGAAAGGACATATGTTTTTACTTTTCATACATATACATTATTCGTTATTGCTATTGTGTTATATATTTTACTTTTAACATACCAATGCTCTAGTTTTGTCCCACATAGCCGTGAATAGCTCAAAATATTGCAATTTCACAAATTAGCCCTTGTATCTCATCATAACTGTAAGTTTATATTGTGAGTGCTCTTTTAATAATGGTGTTCTTATATTTTCACAAGCACTGAATATTAAGTCCCATGAACAAAATGAGGAACCCAAATGATAGAATTTCTCTATACAAATACTGACCAAAACCCAACAATTTATCTTTTCCAGATAAAATATAGGACTTTTTCACTCTAGGTATTCAACGCTCTATTTATTTTGTAATAACTTTTGATACAAGTTCTAACAAAGTTTAGAGCTAGGTGATAAACAGTCTAATGCATTCATTGAAAAGCATGAGAATAACCATTCCATGAATTTCAAATAATTAAACTAAAACTAATTAATTAATTGCATTAATTGAAATTTAATCCATATGCTTAGCATTACCTTTGCAGTGGTTTTCATCCCACGGATATACACAGTTTTGGAGTCCATTGCAGACCAAAGTATTATTAATACACATATTACTATGGCAAAAAAATGCATTGGCTTCACAGGGGGCTAAAAAGGAAAAAAAATTCATTAGCAGGAATGCACAGTGAATTTACTCTCCTACTCAGTAGCAATAGAGCTATTAGTAAATCTAATACAAAAAAAACCAAGCAAAGGGATCTACAATATTGGATTTAAAAAAACTTCATATTTTGAATGTAGGCCAGATGGCTGTAATTCTATGTAATCAGCATAATTGCTTCACTGTTTATTGTATAAACAAAATTTAGGATCGAAAGTGCAGTTTTCACACCTGCAGTCAAACTCATTCAGGTTTTCATTACAAATCACTGCAATGTGTATATCCAAATGTAAGAGAGAGATGTAGGAAGATGGCATTATCTAACATAGTTAATAAGCATTTTAAAAAAAAAAAGCTATCAGCTTCAGTACAACTTGATGCTTGTAGCTATAAACTGGGGCCAGTAATGAAGAAAATTAAAGTGATACGTTCAAGTGCATAATACTTTTCTAAAGTAAGTAGGTAAGGGACTGCAGAAACACTTGCCTTTCTGATATTGAATTTTCACAGTCCCTGAGCAGGAGGTAAAGAGTAATTGCCTAAGGCTCACAAACTAGTAAAATCAAGTTGCTGATATTACTAAAGCCGCAGAATGAAAGTGGAACTGGAGGCTATATACTCTATATCAGGCTTCATAGGGAAATCCAAAATTCTCAAGAAGTTTACAACCAGTGGAGATTATTCAGTCACTGAACATTTCTAAATCCAACTCAATAATTATATATTTTTATGTTCATGCAGCTAGATGGCTATCTGTATAACTACCCCAACGTGCTATTAGATTTTTTAAGTGACATTAAGGGAAAACAACATATTTTAAAACTATATTAACCTCTCTGAAGACTTAATATATATATACAAATAACCTTGTATTGGATTGAAGGACAGTGAACTCTCTATAATCATTTCTGTTTTTATTTAGTCATACAATGTAGAGGCTGCCTGACTTTAGATGATTCTGGGACGTTTACATATTAAAACAAGAACAATGAAATTAAAACTTAGAGGTCATATGCATGCAGAAGAAAAACCATACATAACAACAAAAAAACCTTACACGAAGGAATCAAGAACCATTGAATCTCAAGGTATGAGTGAATAACTTTCTCAACAACAATGGAAAAGGGAGAGGAAATGTATGAATATCTGGAAGAATATTATCCCAAATATAGATAGCATTAAAAAAGGCAAATATAATAATTTGGAATGATAAATGAAATTAATAGGTTTAATTCAACTACATTCTAATGCAGTGTTTCCTTTTAAGAAGGAACATCTGAGTTATGAGATATAAAAGATAGATATTTTGCTAGCTTAAATAAATGGCATTTCCCCATAATCTTTCATAAATAACCCCTATCATAGATCCTGATATAAATGTTTGTTGTTAAGAATAACATCATCAGCAATAATAATAATTTTTAGCTTTTAATGAGGTTAGGCTCTTCATGTAATGAAATTGGGGGGGGGGGGGGAAATCTTTAATACATCTGCTGCAATGCTGCTTTTCAATTCCTACTGGACATCCCAGTAGTTGAGGACTACTGAGTTATATTATCTAAAAACAATACAGGAAGAATAGCAAAGGGAGTTCTAAAAGCAATCTTGCTTCCTATATTTGAACAAAACAACTCCACTCACCCACAGCCACACACAACTAGCAGATCACCAAAAGACTCAAAAACCAGGAAAAGAGAGTTGGGGTTCCTATACACCTTTTCCTGAAAGTAAATCTAACTAAAGGGATTCAATAAATACACAAGTTTAGAAGTGTGCTCTATACAGTACATGCCAACAACTTTCATGTTTAGTTGTGTACAAAGGGAATGTCTGCTATCTCCCATGCTTCTTCATCCATTTCTATACCTGTGTTTCCTGCTATCAATACAGGACCATCTAACAAAAGCTACTGCCTTGCCAGCTTCACTTCAACCTTCTTCTTTTGGACAAATTGTTGGACAAGATTAACAATGGAGACATAACAATATCTAATGAGAAAAACAGGGATCAAAGCTATTTTTCTGGAGAATGGCAGGAATGGCCAGGCAAGGGAAAATGAGATTATGATAGTAATTCCTAGCAGGTTTACAAGCTTAAAAAAAATAACCCAAGTAGAATCATAGTAAGAAAGAGAAGGAAACATTGTAGCAAAGAAGTGAAAAATTCGGGAAATTTTGTATAGTGATGCTTCTCATTTGAAACAAAGATCTCAATCTGTCCCACTGTGTCCCCGGGACATCCAGGCTGATGTACTGGATGCTAGAAATAGAGCAATGGTTCAAAGGCAGCACTATTCTAATAAGAAGATGCTTATTCCACAGGGAAGAACCATCTTGTAGATTAGTCAGAAATGCAAAGTTTCAAACGTTCACAGTTCATGAGAAAAATCTAATTTACAGGATAATCTGATCTAATCCAACAATGAAAATTATGATTTTCTGTTGCAAATACTGGTCACAAGGTGGCAACCTAAGTCTAAAGGAGCTGCACATATATATGATTTAAACCCAAGGATATGAATTAATTTTACTATCAGGTTTCAGGAAAAACAGCAGATGTTTCCTGTTTAAATCATGGTAAGTGATTGAGGACAAGAATATAGAATAACCACTCAAATATATAAGGATGTGTAAAAAAAAGAGAAAGCCAGAATGTTGTTCCACACCAATAACAAATTTTAGGGTTGCACAATCACTCAGTGAAAAAAATCCTGAAAGAAGTATCTTCATGTCATTTCTTTTGCATCCTCAAAGGGCTCACAAGTCCTTATTAAGGATCCAAATTCTTATAATTCTCAGAGTGCAGAAAGTAGGAATCCCATATAAAGGATGTTTTCTCATTTTTATGCAGTTCACCTTGAGTTGTGGCAATGAGGGACTTGAAATAAGAATCCAACCCAGTTTTTATTGCTGTTGTCAATGGCACATTGTGCTGCAAACTCACCTCTTTCAGGCATGTATCGGATATTATAATACATATAGAAAAAGGGTGGGGCAAGTGCTGCAATACAACTCTACTTTCATTAGTCTGACCTTTTTCCCCCTCTGCAGATACCATTTATCGAAAATCTCCCAATGGTGATACCGCCATTTTAGCAGTTCATTAAAATTAATAATAAATATATATATAGTTGTGTTGTTGCCACAAGATGCAACACAATCATGTTAAGTTAAAAAAAAAAACAACTTAAAATTATAATTAAAATTAACTTGATAATAAATGTTTGTGCCATTGCAGAAGAATGCAGATATAATTTTAATCAAGATATGCAGGAGTATTTAAAGCAAAACACATTTGAGAGATGGGCAGAGGAAAATTCTGACAGGTATTCAAGATGTTAGTTTATATCAATAAGGTAGTAGTCCTGTAATCTTTGTGATGTACCTGGCCTCTCTGATATGCTGTTAACATTTTTTAGGAACTTTTAGGAAGCAACTACCCCCACGAGTAATATTAAACCATCACATACAAACATAGTTGCTGCATTGCTCATCACTGGTAATCTGGTTCTAATGTATTATTTTGGCAAATGCAGCTATGAAATGAAATTACAGTGATTCAATAACTCAGAAATTCTCTGACTGTATGGTATTACAATCCCCTAAAATGTAAAATCAATTTGTATCTTTCTCTGCAATGCCACTGAATAAACTTAATTATTTCAGTACAGACTGATTTGAGAAAGAAATAAAATGCACACATACCAATCATTTCAATAATGGCATTTAATATATGTATCGAGTAAAACAATGTAGATCCTTCTAATTTTATAAAACAAAATATGGACTTAGATATGATAAAGTTTTTCACTGACATATACATATTTAGAGAGACTCAACAGATTACAATACACTACTACAGGTAGATTTCGATTACTCATTCATTCAGCAACTATTCAAAGTTACATTGAGAAGACTTATATCAGTCCTCAGTTGCAGCCATCTAAGCACCCCTGCAGTTATGTGATTACAATTTGGATGCTTGGCAACCAATTCACAATTATGATAGTCATAGCATCCCATAGTTATGTGATCATAATTTGCAACTTTTGTTGCTTTCTTCCAACAAGCAAAGTCAATATAGAAATCAGCAAGGGGTTGCAACTAATCATATGATTTCATGTATAACAACCACAAGTGGAACTGCCTTTGTAAGGTGGCACGGTCATGTGACGTCACACTTTATAACTGCATTGTTTGGTGATAAAGTTCCCAGTCCAAATTACCATTGTTAACCAAGTATTACTTGCACATGGCATACTGGTGGGGATAATTCCAAAGAAACACAAATATATCAAAGAGAGGCTAAACCCAATTACTAGTGATCAGAGCCAACAGTTTATCATTATCCAATAATAATCACATTATTATAGATGCCACTTGCTACACACCAGAAAAATTAGAAGATATATATGGGCGAATAGATGGCATGTTAAGTTTGATAGATAAATAAATAAATATAGATAGTCCTTGACTTACAACCACATTGAATCCAAAATTTCTGTTGCTAAGCAAGACAGTAGTTAAGTGAGTTTTGCCCCATTTTGCAACCTTTCTTGTCACATTGTTAAGTGAATCCCTGCAGTTTTTAAATTAGTAACATGGGTGTTAGGTGAATCCCCATTGACTATATTTGTCAGTCACAAGAGGTGATCACATAAATACAGGCCACTTGCCAAGCATTTGAATTTTGATCACATGACCATGGGGATGGTGCAATGGTTGTAAGAGTGAAAAATGGTCAAGTCATTTTTCAGTCCCACCATAATTTCAAATGGTCATTAAACAAATGATTGTAAGACAAGGATTATCTGTAAATATAAATAAGTACATGCAACAGCATGATGCATATCAGAAAGAGGGAGGACTTTCATTGTGATGCAATCTACTGTCATCATTTTGCCCTTCTCTCTTTCCCACTGTGGAGGTGCTGCTGTATACATGTATGTATATCATTTCTCAGTTGCAGTTAAAAAAAAAACCCATAT